AGGAATGGCCATTTCAGTGAAGGCAAGCTCTAGCTTGTCCCCAGTATAGACTTTGTGGGGTAAAAATAAAAGATAGAAATACTGCATAGGAACTCACTTGGTCATCTTCCTCTTCAATGTCATCTCGAATACCCCTGGAAAAACAAGCGGAGAAACAAACTTCCCTGCAAATGTTCCACATACCCAGCTCCACACTTATAGCAGATTAGTGTTGAATTCCATATAGCACAGGAACTCTCAACACTAATAACAACACAGCAGCAATAAACACACTATAAACTATCCATCCATCACATATGTGTGGTTTCACTTTATATGCTGCAGTTTGCATTTCTTTTGAATGGGATGATATGGTAGCCCTGGAAACATCAACTATTAACAAGGGTATAAAGAGTAAAAACTTCTGAAGACAGATACCCCAAGGATCCTAGCTATGTCAACCCCATTCAACAAACACGATGCGGTTTTGAAAAGCATATTAAAAAAAAAAAAAAAAATCCTGCTTTTGGTATGGCCCCCAGAGTTTCTAGCTCTGGAGTAAATGCATATAGCTAAAATCCTTGGGGACAGAGAGAAAAACATTATCAACTCTTTAAGTTTGTGAATAAAACTCCCAAGTGATTCACACAGAGAAGGGGACCATTGCCACTTGCTGCATTGCTCAGGAGCTACAGAAAGTAAGGTTGTTTAGTTCTCACAACCACCTCTTTCTAATCAGACTTTCTGCCTAACCTAGAGCACTTACTACTACTAAGGCAAACTATCCCACCAGTGTAGGGCAACTGAAAGAGGATGAACACACAGTAAGCACCGAAGAGAGGGATGAACCTCCATATGGCACAGAAACCTTGGGTAGGGCCTGAGCACTGACTGCCAAGCAGAGGGAAAAACCAACCCTGCCCACTTATGCCTGGTAGCAAAAGCCTTAAGTGGAGTGTATTCATGAGGGACAGAGGAGAACTCTTTCCAAAAAAAAATAAAGTATTTCAAGTTCTGACTAGATGCTAAATCATGATATCACTCCTTAAACAAATTAGGTTTTATTATTTACTAACGATATACAGTATTTAATGACATAATCATGACTGCTTTTCATAAATCATATAGGCATTAAACTATTAATTACGGGACAGAACCTAGAACAATGAACCCAAACATTAGTAATTATGCTCTTAATTCTCACTGTAACTCATCTCATTCTAACTACCTATAGTAGAACACTGAATGCCCTTCTACAAAAAACAAAACAAAAAAAACCTAACGCTTTTAAATTACTGTAAATTCAAAGATTTTTGTCATTTCTATTATCTAGAGAAATATTATTCAAGATACAGGGATAACTTCAAGTCAAGACATTTGTGTATTTTAATTTTTCTCTATAAACTTCGGGGGAATAGGCTTTGCAATATTTTATTTTCATATAACCTTTGTGAGGGAGAAGAAAACAACTTACTTCACGTTTTTCCTTTCCTTGTCCTTTTCTTCAAGCCTCTTCATGTCTCTAGCTGCTTGATCCTAATGAAACAAAAGGCTGTATGAAATCACGTCAACTAAAAACACTGGAAATTTGTTTCTAAAGAATTTTGAGAATTGAACAAATGCTATCATAGTTTTAGCTATGTATTTTGACAATTACTTTTTTTTCCCTCCCTCTGTAACTCCTCCCCCAACCTATGGATGTTGCCGTTTCCCCTTAAGAACTGGATCTCTGAAGGCGGGGCGTCTCCTCCCACACGCTTGCGGCGTATACCCAGAGCCTGGCGCCCCTGGCACACTCGGGGGGCCTGGCACACCAGGAGTATGGTTCATGGCTCCACCTGGGGCGCGAACCCAGGACCTTCTGTGTGTAAAGCAGACATGCTAACCACTACACTATGGAGCCACCCCCTTGACAATCGTTTTTCAAGAGAAATAATCAAGTGTTCTAAAAACTTGGCTATACATGGATCGCATGATTTTTATATGCAATATATAAAGATGCATAGAAAAATGAGCAAAAAATGCTTTACTGGTCACTTTTTTAAATGTCACAACTTGAGGGAGAGGGGTTAACTAGTATCTAGTGGGTAAAGGCCACATACCTACACTACACAGGACAGTCCCCCACGACAAAGAATTACGGAGGCCCCAAATGTCAATGTCCTGAGACTGAAAACTCTGCTCGAAACCTACTAAATCTGAACCCTTGGAGTTGTAGTTAAATGCATGTAGTTTTTCCATTTTCTATAGGCAATTCTTACACACGGCAAATCGATAATCACTAATATAATTTTTTTTTTTTTTTAAACACCTACAGCACCTGGTCTTCCTAGGTGGTCTCCCACTCAAGTACTAGCCACACTCAACCCTGCTTGACTTTTGAGATCAGACGAGATTGGGCACAGTCAGGGTAGCATGGCCGTAGACTTGTAAATTGTATTATACATGTGAAATCAAGGTCAGAAGAATTAAGTAATTTTTCCCAAGGTTAAAACACATTCTGCACAACTATTCCTTGTTATAAAGCATTTAATACATGCCACTGTATTAAACCTGGCATGGTTAGGCATTCCACCTAATCAAATGTTCCTGATAAAAAGGAATTATTTTAAAAATATTATACACAATCTATTTTTCAAGGGATTGAGACATATATTTAAAGCTATAAACAAAAGTCAAGATGACATAAGCTATATAACGTAAGAAATGGGTTGCAAGCACTTATAGAACATATTTTTCAAACCTATATAAATCTTTTTTTGAAACACTGGCTAAAAATAAATCTTCATCTTAAGTTCAAACATTACAAAAGTTTATACTTTCTAGAAAAGTTTACACCAATGTATTAATACAATACACTCTTGCAACAGCACTCTCTCCAAGAGCAGACAATATCCAATCTCTTTGCCCTAAAATCAACAAAACCCCTTTGGATACTATACCCAAAAAAATACCCAGAGGAATGATACCCTACACTGTTTTAACTATTTGAAATGCTAACCAAGAGAATTTGGGCCATTCTTGGAGACACCCACTCAAAAAGGGCTCCGGCAGCTGGCACGACCAAAAATTAAATCTAATTTAAACCTAGAAAATAGAGAGCTGATTTTTCTTCTAATTCATCAGTAGGGATAGATCTACTAATTTATCAGTAGAGAAAATATGAGAAACATGGACCTTTGGCAAATGTCCCTATCTCAAAAAGAGAAAAAAAGAAATGTATGCGAGACATCTCAAACATAAACAATTTACTCCTTCATTTCTAGATAGAATCATTTAACATATTTATCAAATTGCTACCATGACGCAAAGCACATGTATGTTCTAAATATTTTTGGTGTTATGGCAGAAATACACAGTGCTATAAGAACTCAGATACAAAATGATACCCCAGAAAAAATATGGGCTTTTGAACTGAATCCTGGTTATGCTACCCAGTAGGTGCATCCTCTGGCCAAGTTATTTGAGTTGTTCTAAATCAAAGGTGGAAAACTCAAATACCTAATGGGTGTCAATCTGACAATGAATGAAATGAGCCAAGACAAGTTATACTCTTTTGACAAAGACATGCCTCCCTTGCACTTTAGTAAGTACGAATATTCTTCTAAAGAAGCATGCTCTAATTTTTCTTGTGTCACATGGCCCTGAGTCTTTTATTTTCTGAGATTTGATAAGAGGCCCAAGCTCAGAAAAATATTTCTCCACTGCAAGAAAACCACAATGTAAGTGTGATGATAAATGGCTCTGAATGGTGGCCTCAATGTCAAGAAGTCAACAGGGATTAATGAAACTACAGTGAACTAGAAAAAGCATGCCTTGTCTAAAGCAGACAGCCATTTGCTCAGCAACAACCATGCAAGAATGCAGGCTTACTATTGCCAAATTCTTCATTTTTCAAGAGTCTGAACTTTTAGATAAAAATCTCCTGATCTTAAAAATGTTGGCTCACATTTTTAAAAAAGCAATGTCTAGGCCAAACAAAAACAAATCCATACCAGATTCTTTCTTTCCCTCCTTCCTTAGAGGAGAGATAAATTCTGGCTGAAGACTTCAGGTAACAAGTAAATGATAAATGTGGAAGGACTATTTCATAAGCAATGCAGTAACAATTTTTGAGCAAGAGGAAAACACAATAAGAAACATGCTTTAGTCTAATTACTCTGTTGCTGTAAAGCACATAAATAAGAGAGCAAAGAGCCTAAAGAGAGAATTTAAACCAAGCAAGAGTTAATGAGGTATAAACTAGTATGAACATAGTAGAAACAGAAAGGAACAGATGCAAGAAATATTGTAAAGATTGACAGAACTTGGCAAATGATAAAAGAAAAGGCAACAATGATATATTGGAAAGAGTTCAGCTGTCAGCACTACTAAGCAAGTAAGTCCCAGCTCTGCCACCTAGTACCAATGTCATTTGGGGCAAGGAATCTGAGTTATCTTAGAGTTCAGTTTTTAAATTAAATAATTGCATTTATGTATTTCCTTTCTGCCTATTCCCCACTGTTATTCTGAGGATTAAATGAACTAAATCATGAACGTGCTTGATCATCTGTTAAAAAGAAAATTAAAAAGCAGGGCAAGTAAAAGAAAGAAATTAAAGACAAGGTGATTGCGTGTGACTACTGGTACCATTAAGAGAAAAAAAAAAGGTCTAGTTGAAGAGGTAAAGATGAATTAGGTTTAAGGTGCCAGGAAGGACACACTTATGTAAAAATGGCCAATATGCTTCTAAAAAAGCACAGCTAAAACAAGAGAGCAACTAAGAGAATAAAGACATGATTTACTGACACGGAAGCTATAAAAGTAGATGAGATTACTAAGGAATGTATAAAAAGTAAAGATAGCAGATCAATACAAAGAAGCATAGGAGAATTATCATACTGAGAAAATGGAAGAGGATCACAAGAATAACATAACAGACAGATGGATATGTAATGATTTTTTTGGTACAATGGTATATGGTAGTTATGTTTTTTAAGAGTTATCTTAGAGATATAGAAATAGATAGCTGAAATAATATGTAAGATGTACTTTAAAATAATCTAAGAGAGGTGGGAGGGGCTAGATAACACATGACTGCCCAAAAATTGTCAACTGATAGAGTAGGGTAAGAGTGTACAGGGCGGGGGCTCATTTTATTATTCTACATTTGTGTGTTTCAAATTTTTAATAACAAGAAATAAACATAAAGAAAAGTCAAAGTGATGGGAGAAAATGAACAAAATGCAAAATCATAAAAGCCTAGTGAGAAGTTTTAAGGTAGTCGCAAGCTTCGATGTCTACAGGGAGGTCATGAATGTTGATAATGTTGGTAATAAATATTAAACATTAAAAGTACGGAATACAAAATTTGTATTATTACCAAGTTCCTTCAGTTTAAGTGCCTTACAAAAAAAGTATTTAATAAATGTTAGATTGAATGAGATAATGTTCATTCCATTTAAGAATATACAAAGAATTATTAAAACGCAAATCTTGTTTTAAGAATTACAGTTCAAATTTCTAGCCACTGATCATCTCTGAAAATGCTACAGGGCAAGTGGAAGTATATTTAAGAAACCACAGTACAAGAGCAAAATTCTCCAAAAAAAAAAAGGGCCAGAAAAATTCTGAATGAGAACTGAAACAAGAGGTTAATTTGGCCTATTACTAATTACTTAGAATTTTAATAAAACAGGGTTGATACTTGCCTCCACTTCAGCCATGAATGCCTCCAAGGGATCATCATCGCTATCAGAATCTGCCGGCTTGGAATGGAATTGCTGGCGGGTA